ATTATTTACTATCTCCAAATAACTCTTTTGAGTTATTTGATTAGATAGATTACTGATTTCCCATTTGTGGGGCTTGTTGACTTGGACCTACTTTTAAAATTTTATTTAAGGTGTACAAATTCCATGTATTTCATACAAACAGATTTAGGAACACAGTGATACTCCCCACTCTACTCTCCCTCCTGCCCGTGCTCCCACCCTTCCTCCTCCTTCCTCTTTTATTCTCTCTCAATTTTTTTACAGTGATCTACTTTCAGTTTACTTTATACTCATAGGATTAACCCTACACCAAATAAAGGGTTCAGGGGCCGGCACTGTGGCGTAGCTGGTTAAGCCGCTGCCTGCAGTGCCTGCATCCCATATGGATGCTGGTTTGAGACCTGGCTGCTCCACTTCCAATCCAGCTCTCTGCTATGGCCTGGAAAAGCAGCAGAAGATGCCCCAAGTCCTTAGGTCCCTGCACCCACGTGGGAGACCCAGAAGCTCCTGGCTCCCAGCTTCGGATTGGCACAGCTCCGGCCGTTGTGGCCAGTTAGGGAGTGAACTAGCTGATGGAAGACCTCCCTCTGTCTCTGTCTCTCCTCTCTCTGTGTAACTCTTTCAAATAAATAAATAAATAAATAAATGTTAAAAAAATAAATAAAGGGTTCAAACAAATAGTAAGAAGAAAAAAAAACACTGTTCCTCAGCAATAGAGACAAGGGCTGTAAACATTCATCAAATCTTAAAATGTCAATGTCACTCCTATACATTACATTTTTGGTATTCTATTAGTTACCACAGATCAGGGAAAACATATGGTATTTATCCTTTTGGGACTGGCTTATTTCACTAAGTATAATGGTTTCCAGTAGCATCCATTTTGTTGCAAAAGACAGGATTTCATTCCTTTTTATCGCTGAGTAGTACTCCATAGTTAGACCTACTTTTCAACCCTGTGACTATCACATCCTACTTTATAAAGATTCCAGCACAAAAATTTCCAATTTAAAGTACTTTAGGAGTAGGTGTTAAGCCTAGCAGTTAAGATACCTGTGACTATCAGTGGAGTGCCTGGGTTAGATTCCTCTCTCTGGCTCATAACTCTAGTTTCCCCCTAATACAGTCCCTGGGAAGCAGTGGTGATGGCTCATGTACTTTGGGTTCTTGTCACCTATGTGGGAGACATAGATTGTATCCCAGGCTCCTGGTTCCAACCCCAGACTTGCCCCTGACTGCTGTGGGCCCTTGGGAAGTGAATCAACAGATGGGAATTCTCTCCCTCTCTCTTAAATAAACAAATCTTTAAAGAGATACTGCAGTGTAATAGTGTCAGCCATCCTCAGGAATTTCTAATAGCTTATCCAAAACAATATTAGAATATCAAAGAAAGTTGTATTATAAAGGATACAAAAATTAAAAAACAAACAAAAATGTAAGGAGGCCAGCATTGTGGCACAGTGTCTTAAGTTGCCATCAGTGGCATCTAATAGAGGCACAGGTTCAAGTTCCAGCTGCTCCACTTTCCATTTGGCTCCCTGCTAATATGCCGGAGAAAGCAGTGGCAGATGGCTTAGGTGCTTTGGCCCTTGCACCCACCCGGGAGGCCCGGATGGAGTTCCAGGCTCCTGGCTTCGACTCTGACCTGGCACAGCCCCATTGCTGCAGCCATTTGGGTAGTGAACCAGCAGATGGAAGATCTTTCTCTCTCTCTCTCTATTACTCAGTCTGCCTTTCAAGTAAATAAATAAGCCTTTAAAAATATGTAAAGGATACAAAGTAGGTTTCCTACATCATTATATCAAATTCATTATCAGGGAAAATTTATACAATTCTTGACAGAATGAATTAAGCTCATGAGTTGAAGTAGTCTATTGTAAACGCACTTCAGGAAGACGTAAGTTTTTTTTTGGTTGTTGCTAAACTCTTGCCAAAGCATACTACAGAGCAGTTGTTTTTCCCCTGTTCATTACAGTCCAACACAATACTCTATATAATCCTTTTGTTTCCCCTTGATACTTGCTAAATGAAAAGTTATCTTGCTCGCAAAGCAGAAAAAGTCCACATAGACTAAACTGGAATACTTCCTACAAATCAGTAACTTACAAATATCATTGAGAACAGAAATAATGAGAGAGTTGTGAAAATGGCAAAACATAGGACATAGAAAGATATTAAGCTGTAGGACAGAACACCATGTATCCTGGGAAATCAAAGTTCATAAAATCACCATGGTGATTTTTTAAAAGATCCACAGAATATAAATTAGAAAAACAGGAAATCCAGATCTTCTTTAAAAACAAAGCAAAAATATTACTTCAAAAATTACAAATAAATTACCCAATATTTGGGAAACAGTCTTAACAAATGCCACTAGCCAAACATTACTGAAACGTCACATATAGATACAAGTATTTTACAGAGGGAGCTACAAACAAGAAGTCATCCTAAGAAATGCAAACTCTACATAAGATGAAAAATAAAGAACTATTATGGAAAAGAAATTTGAAAGCAATCTCCAATGTGCCTCATAATCTATAGTCTAGGGCTACCATAGCAAGGCAAAAATATTCATAGAGAGAAAAAGATGGCAGTCTCGTCTGCAAATCACAACCAAGAAGGCATGATACTCACTGGTAGATATGCCATGGCTTGTGAATACAGATATATTAATACATGCCCGTGAGACTACTTTAAAAAGTTCATCAAAAATAAGATTAAAAGAAGCTAGCTTTGATGCAAAACATTGTGAAGTCCATGCAGTTTTTTAATAATATGCATTTTTCTATGAATACCTTGAAAATCCTTCATATTTATGGATTTCACAATGTTTTGCACCAAAATAAGCTTATTTCCCAATTCCAATTTTTTTCTTTAAAGATTTATTTCTTTCAAAGTTGGAGTTAGAGAGAGATCATCTTCCATCTGTTGGTTCACTCCCCAAATGGTCACAAGAGCCAGGGCTGAGCCAGGCCTACGCCAGGAGCCTGGAACTTCATTCGGATCTCCTACACGGGTGCAGGGGCCCAAGCACTTTGGCCATCTTTTGCTGCTTTTCCAGGTGTATTAGCAGGGAGCTGGATAGGAAGTGGGGCAGCCAGGACTTGAAACAGCACCCATGTGAGCTGACCTGCTATGCCGTAACATCAGCCTCCTCAATTCCATATTTCCACAAACTTCCTGAAGGCCCCATGTGTACGTGCATATAAGGCTCCAGAATCCCCCATTCATAATCCCCATACACACCCACACCCACACCCAGAGCAAAAGAGACGCTTTACAACATTGAGATCAAATTACTTGGGAGGAAAATTGCAGCTGTCAGGGAAAAACTTCTGAAGGAAAAGATTATATTATAGTGTTAACTCCTACCCAGCAACATCAGAAGTTCAAAGTAAATTAAAACTCTAGGAGCGAAAACTGGGCAAGGTTTGAAACCGTGGCTTTAGATTATAATGTGGCCTAAGGAGCTGTGAACGTTGAAGCTTCCAGTACAACAGCATATGGCTCCCAGCACTCCATAGGCGATCAACAAGTTGGGGAAGGCCAGTCTTTCACATCTACACACCACTGCACAGCTGAGAAAATGCCTTCACTTTCAGTCCTCAACAGCAACCCGGGTCGGTCGCCTGACTTTCCCACAGCTTGCAGTTTGGTAAGGCACTCTCGTGCACACACTGCCTTGGCTACTTCACAGAGGAGACGAGGAGGTTGAGTCACTCCACTAAGGACAACCAGACGGGACGCGAGGGGCCTGCGAGACTGCAGGACTCCATTCAGTCAGCAACAGACGCTTCCAACCCTTACAAGTTCAAAGTGCAACACTCCGGGGAGAGCCACCTCGGACAGCTAAACCAGACAGGACCGACCTCCGCCCCCTCCAAGGCGGGGAAACCGAGGCAGCTGGTAGACAAATGCCCAATCTGGAGTCACGCGGCGGGTGTCGCGGGGATGGGCTCGCCCCCATCACATCCCCAGAGAAGCAGCTGAGTCCTGTGTCTGGGACATCTGGCCGGGCTCCAGAGAGACAGGAAAGAACCCTCGCCAGTCCCGCTTCCTTCTCACAACTCTCCATTCGGGCTTGCCTATCAATGGGGTGGGCTTTTCCCCAGGACCGCCCGGAAATCCCCTCTCCCCAAGATCCTTACCCAGTTGTTAGCTTGGGCCTCCGGAGTCTGAGAATCCGCTAGCTCTGGTTCCCACCTCCTCGCCCCTCTCTCTGCGGTGTCCCTCGACCCCAAAGCGTTTGTAAATCTCCCCACGGCAGGTCTGCCTCCCACCCATGCCACCCCAACCGAGAACTCCACAAAACGAAACCCTCCCAAACCGTCCTATCTACCCGCTCTGCCCCGGAGCCCCTGAGGAGCGCCCCCAGCAGCAGGAGCCTCCGCAGGAGATACCTGCCCCTCACCTGGGCCCCGCTGCCCACAGCCGCCTCAGGAGGAGGGTAACCTCCGAGAACCTCCACCAGTCAATACAACCCCCCCCAAAAAAACGGGGAACACCCTCTTCCAGGAACCTCCTCAGGTGCCCTCAGCGCGGGCCCTGGTGAAGGCTCTGCCCAGCGCCACCCTCTCCTGGAGCTCTTCCAGGAGTCTATCCCGACCCCACTCAGGTCTCCCCGCCCCAGGATCGAGCCACCGTTCCCCTTCCTCACAGACGTTCCCAGTCCTCGGACTTCCTCCCGCCCCGCGTTCCCACCGGGCTTCCCAGAGCAGCGCAGCTGGACTGTGGCACTGACTTTCTCTAGCTTCCAGGCCCACCAGAGTGAAGAGGCAGCGGCAGCGGCAGCGGCACGACTCCTTTGTGACAGGTCCGAGAGAGCGGTAAAGATGGACGCGAGGCCACGGCGCTGCCATTACGCGCAGGGCCCACCCCCGCTTCGTACCGCCCCGGCCCTCCCTCAGTCCCCTAGGAAACGCCCCTTCCTCGGTGGCAATCCCTCTCCCTGACAGCCAATCATCTTTCAAGAGCCGTGTCACGTGATACCACAGCCGGGCCCACCCCCGAGGCGTGAGCTGGCCAATCGCCTTGCTGAACAGTGAATGGGCCAATCAAGCCTCTCCATTTTGCTGTCGGGGCCTCGGATTCCCATCGGGATCTTGGGGAGGAAGAGAGCCGTGGATTGGGTTACGCCGCCGGAAGCGGGGTGGAACTTTGTTGTGGCGGTGAGGAACAGGAAGCCCCGAAGGGTCAAAAGAAATACAAAAGCAAAGGCTGTTTTTTTCCTTTTTCTTTTTTCTTCTCACTCTTCTCTCTCTCTCTCTTTTTTAAAGAGCGAGCGGCCTTTGCGGCGGCAGTTTAGGGTGGGCACCGCCGAGGTGAGGGAGTCTTGCCTCCCGCGCTCTAGTAGGTGAGTGTGGCCTGAGAGCTGGCCAGGCGGCGGAACCTGGTCTTCTCTGAGGACGTGGGGAGCTGCTGCGGCTGATGTTAGGGTTAGAGCCAGGCCTGTTCTCAGCCCACGCACTCGCCCAGCGTCGTGAAGTAGCCAAGGCTGAGAGTTCGCGGGGTCCAGCTCCCGAGGGAGCCCGCCGAAAGGCATCTGGGTGGTGAGGGGAGGTTCCTCGACCCTCGGGCCTGTTTGTCGGCTTAGTTCACTTGACTGCTAGGAGGGCCCTCCCGGGCCGGCTGTGTGCCAGAGGCCTCGGAGCGACTCCAGGCTCCTCGGGAGATGTTCCCGGTTGGCGGCGGTTGAACCCCGGACCTCTCCCGCAGGATGGGAGATAGCGTGTACTGGCTACTGTGCTAAGTGCATTTGCTTCCAGTAGAAGCCTGCTGTGTAGACAACTTAGAGGAGTAAAGACCGTGAGAAGGAGCGTCTTGTTTGAGACTCGGTGGCCCTTGGTGAATGTTAGTTCGCACAGGGGAAGAGGGGAGACCCATCCGTTCACATCAGTTTTTTAAAAATTTATTTTAAAGACAAAGGTACAGATAGAGGGAGGCAGCGCGGGGCGGGGGTCGGGGGATAGATATCCATCCGCTGGTTTACACCCCAAATGGCCACAGCAGCTGGAGCTGAGGTGATCCCAAGCCCCGGGGCCAGGAGCTTCTTCCGGGTCTCCCACGTCGGTGCAGGGGCCCAAGGACTTGGGCCATCTTCTATTGCTTTCCCAGGCGCCTTAGGTAGGAGCTGGATCGGAAGTAGAGCAGCCAGGACTCGAACTGTTGCCCATGTGGGATGCTGGCGCTGCAGGCTTGGCTCTGAGCCTCTGCGCCAGCCCCACAGCAGTTCTTTAAGGGTAGCAAAGACCGGATCTTCTGCGGCCCTCTTAAGATTGAGAATCCCTGGAGCCTACTCTCAGGTGGTCTCACTGAGGAGGTCTTGAGTGGGACCCGGGAAATCAGGTGCAAAGCCGGTGCAGGTTCCCCACTGGGAATGACCTCTTGGGTTCCAGTTGTGAGATGAGAGTGGCCCGCTCTTAAGTTGATGTGTCCACAGGGACGCCATAAAATGGCGCGGAGGACACTGCTTCTAAAATCCTTGAAATGAATCTGTGTGGGCTCTTTTTTGATACAAGGAATTGAGCTGAGATAAAGGCAGCTCGTGTATCTCTCTGATAGGGGTTCTGAAAGTACAGGCTGCCTGATTATCTTTCCCAGCTGAAGGCTTCCTGCCTTTACCCAAGGGAGATTCTTCGTGGTTCTAGAAAGGTAGACCTCTGTCAGGACCACTGGCCTGGTTATCAGTCGCGTTCCAAGAAAGTCAGCCTGCTGCTTCAGATACTGAAAACTGCATAACTGGTAAATAAAGTAATTTAGGTACATGGTTCAGCCATAGGCTCAGTCTTAGTGCAGTTATGCCTCTCTGGCTGCTCACTTCAGCGGTTTCACCTATTAATAAGTTTTTAGCCTGCATTGTCTTCATTCTTAAACAGCTGTTTCACTCTAATAGAGTGCGTTTTTAAGATGGTCTTTGTTTTTGATTTTGCGCATCTTCACCATGATGGATCCAACTATGATTTGTTTCTGTTCAAATTCTTTGGTATTGGGCTTCTTGAATCTGTGGATTAGTGTCTTTCATTAGCCATTTCGTTTTCATATATTGCTCCTGCCATGTTGTCTCTACTGATTTAACAGACTTTTCACTCTGTTCACTGTGCCTCTCACTCTCTATTTTCTCGTAAATATTCTGGATAATTTCTTTAAAAATGTTTAACTTACACAAATGTACATATTTGTGGGATATAGTGTTATCAAAACATGTTTAAAATATGTAAGAGTCAGATGAGGGCAATTGGAGAATTCACCTCAAATATTTATCATTTCTTTGTGTTGGGAACTTGGAAAATCCCCTCTGTAGTTGTTCTGAAACAGTAGTTATTCTGCTGTACTATAGAACATTAGACGCTACTCTTCCTGTCACCTGCACCCCTGTGCTTGTCACCCATACCCTTCATTTACACCCCGCAGCATCCCAAGGATCTGCTAACCCTTATACTATTCTCTGCTTCTTTGAGACCAACATTTTAGCTCCCACATAAGAGTGAAAGCCTGCAGTGTTTGTCTTTCTGTGCCTGCTTTATTTCACTTAACATAATGCCCTTCAGTTCCTTTCTTTTTTATGGCTAATTGAATAATTTCTTCATAAATTATCTCACTTCAGTTTGTTTGTTAAATTCATCCTCTGAAATCTTAAATGCAGGTACTGTACTTTTTAGTTCCTGAAGTTCTATTTGTTTGTCACTGTTTTACAGTTTTGTATTCTGAGCTGTTAATTTTGAGGCTTGATTTCTGTTTCTTTAAACATGGTAAGCATAGTTGCTGTATAATGTTTGCTTAATTCTGCTGTCTGAATTTCCATCGGATCTATTTCTGTTGTCCGTTATTCCTGCCGTTTTGCCCCCCAGTTCACCTTAACCCTAAGGGTGTAGTCCTTTGGGGCAAGTTTAAGATGGAGAAAGAAGTGGTTATCACACTTCATACCTTGAGTGGACTCTGGGCTTTGACTTTTGTTTCTATTGCACCAAAATTGTACCTTTCTGGTCACAGAAATCCTGGATGAAATTCACTTTGACCTTTTTCTCTGTCTCTCTCACTGTCCACGCTGCCTGTCAAAAAAAAAAAAAAAATTCACTTTGAATATTTCTGGTTCTTACTTCCTCTAATTTGTCCAAATTCTTATACTAACCTTTTGCTTTTCTATTTGTTTACCTTTTTTTTTTTTAATTCCAGGTGGCTTAACAAAGAAGTAGAGGATTGGTTTCCATGACCCAATCCACTGTTTCTAGACATGAATTCCTTCCCCTTCATTCTGATTTTAGAATGTGAAATTTGTGATTTCCAGAACTCTTAAGTTAAAAATGATTTTTTCATATACTTAAAACCTCCACCACTTTTCACGATTAGTGCCATAGCCCTTGTCAACATTAAGCTTCCCTGTTTTATTCAAGTCTTTTCTGAACTAATGTATAGCTTCTACTCCTCTGATTGGTATTAGCTCAGTCTACTTTTCTTCAAATTGCTTTTATGCCAATTTTATCTCTTGCTAAAGAGAGCCTGTTTGGTGTCTAGCACTGTGACTTGCACACAATAGGTCTTCTGGAAAGATTTATTTTAGGGGGGAAAAAAAAGCTGAGTTGGCTTTCTGTGGTTAGTGTAATGCAAAATCTTTTTTTTTTTTTTTTTTAAGCGTAACAGTGGCGTCACATAAGGATAGAATGGGATAGGGGAGATGGAGTATGATTTAGTGTGTGGGCTAGGTTCTAAAGCCAGCCCAGATGGCAAAGTAGTGTTTGAAAATCTCTCAGGGAGGCACCATGTTGGATATAGAAATACCAGCACTAAAAAATTGTAACATGGCAAGGTTTTCCTCTAGCTTTGGAACAAACTACTGTTTTTCTTCCTAGGAGCCCCAGATGAAGCAGTTAGCCTGTATTTAGGAAGTTACAATATGTTACAATATGTAGAAAATATGACTAGTATTAATCATACATAGTGAGTGAAATTTTTATGTTCTGAGAGGCACGTGTGAACTGGGGAACTGAAGATCAGCTAAGGGAACCAATATTTAAAATAGTTCTGTGTTTTTCAGTGTGAATAGATAAATTCAGAGTAAATACACGTATAGTAAGAATGCTCTTGTGCTATGGAAAGATCAATACATATATATATGTATATATGAAACTTTTAAAAAAATTTATTTATTTGAAAGAGTTACAGAGAGAGGTGGGGAGACAGAGAGAGAGAGAGAGAGATCTTTCATGTGCTGGTTCACTCCCCAAATGGCTGTGACGGCTAGGGCTGGGCTAGGCTGAAGCCAGGAGCCAGGAGCTTCTTCTGGGTTCCCCAAGAGGGTGCAAGGGCCCAAGCACTTAGGCTATTGTCCACTGCTTTCCCAGGTGCATTAGCAGGGCGCTGGATTGGAAGTAGAGCAGCCAGGAATTGAACCGGCACCCATATCGGAGGCCAGCATTGTAGGTGGTGTCTTTACCAACTATGCCGTAATACCAGCTCCAGATTTAACTTATTGCATATATTTCTTAGATGCCTAGGTTACTACAATCTGCTTATAATAAACATTTTAAATATGGGTTAAATTGCTTATGTAGTCTCATTTTTAGATTTTTAGTCTTTGCTATTGGAATTTATTAAATAAGTTTAGTGTTAGAAGATTATTTTGTCAAGTCAAAGAACACTCTTAATAATTGTCATTCTCTGGACAAGTTTTATAATATAGGAAAAGCTGACTTGATCTAAATCGCTACATCTTGGTGGAAGTGCCTTGTGGCCAGAAAGCAGTCTTTATTTGGAATATAGTTCAGTTAGCCAGATGGCAGATTCTTCTTAGCTGCTGCCCTACGTTTTGAAGTTCAGTGTGATTTAATATCAGGGAAAAGCATTGAAAAGCAGTAAACTGTATTTACTGACAAACGAAAATGGATTGCCCTGTTGTTTTTGCTACCCTAAGTAAATCCTTAGGACACCATAACATAGAAATCTGATTCTCCCTGGTGTATTTTTGCATGGATAATCTATCTAATTTTAGAATTAGTGGGGTATGGTGGCCAGTGATGTAAATACTTAAGTAGTCTGCCATCACAAAATTCAATTCCATAGGAAACCAGATCCCATTAAGTTGCATCATGGCACTAGCTAAATGAAGTAATTTTTCAAGTCAGGGATAGCAATTATTGGGGTGGGGGAAGGGGCTCAATGTTAGTTTTATAATTTAAACTTGTGTAGTGTAATATATAAGACACTGAGCCTATTGCATCCAGCCAACCTGGAAATTAAATACCAGAGTCTCCAATATAAACACAGCAGCACAATGTTTAACCATTACTTTGGCTTGACATATAAGAACTTTGTTTTCTTGGATGTCAAGCAAATTGGAAAACCATGGTTTTTTGATTT